TTTTGACAATTTCAGTTAAAAGTATCTGTTTTGGATCCGTTTTTTGAAACACTTACCACAATTATTTGGAGTCACAAATATGTATTATCTATTCCCTTGTGAGTTTCAATCAGTGGATGAAACTCTAATGCTTCTTGGAAGTGCCCATGAGACTTTCAGTGTGGGCAGCCCTGACATATATTATCACCTGAAACCATTCTACAGTTTCTTTGTGATTTGGGCACAACCTCTCTTTATTCTCCCATCATGATGTTTTTATTACCACGTGATACACTGATGTTGTGATATACCTATCTTCAACTATCACAGTTTATAGTTCATCTGTTTGAATGTCAATATGCTTAAAGCACTGTAAAAAAGATTAAAATGAAAAGCAACTGGGAGATCATTTCTAAGGGAATTAAAGAAAAAAAAACCAAATCAATTTGGGTGCATTATAGTTATTTTCTGTATAAAATGAAAGCATTGTATACATAAATATAAAATTAAAACACGTCCATCAACTGGAATCTTGTTTATTTAGCATATGACGAGGCTGATGGAACAGGAGTATATAGAATCTTACAATGTATTTTAGAAATGTGCATCTGTCTGTCTGTTCATCTGTAAAGACGTCTCCTAAATGGTAAGAGCTAGGACCCCCAACTTTGGTATGCAGCTTCTTCTTATCATAACTTAAATGAGGACAGTGGGATGTGCCTGGAATTCAATTGTTTTACATTAAATGGAAAGGGAGGGATTTGTCAGGACAGATAGTTATACTGCAAAATGACCACAAAGGGCAAGGGGGTAGGCATGGGGACCATGACAGCTATAAGCCCATTGAGCCAGCATAAGGCAGGGGTGGAAAAAGGGACAGCTACCTACTATATATTTCAGGGAGTTTCTCTGTTTGTATATCTGCTTGTCTGTGTGTCTGTCTGTCTCCCAGTTGGGGGACATGCACCCCTTCCCCAGCTGTGCCTACTGCAGCTGAAGCAGCCACGAACAGACACTTGTCACCTGCTCCCAAGCTGCTGTGGTTAGAGAGACCTAGAGTAGTCCTCTCTCCCTGGGGCAGCCTGCCTACTGAACCCTTCATCTCTAGCCCCTCCCCAGAACAGTGATGTAAGTGAAGAAAAATAAAACCTATTTGAATTAAGGACCTGAGTAGGTAGTATAGTATAAAAGATTTTGGAGTATTACACACTGTATTACCCCCTTTAATTGTGTTTTAGTTTTGTAACAGTAAAGGGAGCACAACTTGAGAATTATTATCATACATGAAGCTGTATTAATTTTCATCAGACACTCTTCCATGCTCTGGAAACTCTCCTTGAGGACAGGTCCCAGTGCAGCAAAGGGGAAACAGGTTAATTTTTCAATTGTATTCTTCTAGGTAATATTTTGGTATCATAAATTTAGCAAGTCAGAACTCCTAGGCTACATCTATTCTGCAGAACTATTTTGGTATACCTCTGGGATCCCGAAATAGCTATTCCACGACTTAAGAGCAAGCCTATTACACTGAAATATAACGCACTTGCTATTCCAACATCTCTGTAAACTTCATTGCACAAGGATTAAGGGACGTTTTGGAATAGCGCTTTATTTCAAAATTTGGCTCTGTGTAGACTGTGTCAAATTACGAAATAAACTATTTCAAAAAGTGATTGAAATAAAATACATAGTGTGTATAGCTCAAATTGCATATCTTATTTTGAGCTACAGATACAGTATACAGTCTGTATTTTGACATACTTTTCAATTAAAATTACAATAAATACATAAACATACATTGCACCTCTTATCCACCACCAAACTTGCAGTGTTCTAATGAGCACACAGTATGATGGGAAAGAAAGAAAGAAAGAAAGAAAGAAAGAAAGAAAGAAAGAAAGAAAGAAAGAAAGAAAGAAAGAAAGAAAGAAAGAAAGAAAGATGAATAAGGCAGGGGGAATAATTTAGGTCAGTAGAATATAATTACCTGAACTGGAATTTGGCCAGGACACCAGAGTTACACTCCTAATCGTATAAAAAGTACCATGTGGTCTTTAATGACCATAAGTGGTCAGGATCTCTGTTTTACATTTCATCAGAAAGACAGCCCCTGCAGCAGCACAGAGCCTTCTAGCAGTGTGAGGGCCATGACTCACTAGTGACTTATGACACAAGCTGAAAAAGTACAAATTGCTGGGAGTCTCCCATCCCAGCGCCAACCTCGCTTGATTCTGTTTCCCCTTTACAGAGAGCTGACAGAAACCCAGCATGAAGTGGTTGGTTGACTCAGGGCATTTTTCTGTAGCTGACAGTTAACATTCAGAGAGAGAACAGGAGGATTTCTTTCTTATGCTTTTGCTATGGGATGTGTGTATGCATTACTCTAATTGAGCACAATGATCAAAATGACAGTACATTCTGCTGAAATTTCTGCACTGAAAGCATTGGGCAGCTTCCATACACAAACGCTGTATAACAGCAAAGACCAAGTAAAAAAGCAAGGCACTTCCAAATGGATGATGGTTAACTTTTTTATGTCAGTTAATCATGAGTTGCAGCCAAGGGGATTGACCAATCAGCTAAAAAAAATAATAATCTGATTTTGGACACAAGTGACAGTTTGATTTAGCTTCCCCCATTTGGATATCTGAGGAACAGCTATGTGAGGGAAGTAAAATGTAAATTATTACAGCACTTAGCTAGAGTTCTATTGAGTCTCATTAATTGTGTGTCAAGAAAATGCCAAACCCTTAAAAATACTCTATTTTTTTCCAAAATGTAAACAGCTCCACTGGACTGGACTGGTCTTAAATCAAGGAAATAATCACATATCAGCATCAACAGTGGACAAAGTAAGTTCTCAGAACAAAGTGCAGCTGCCCGACACCCAGCCTGCCCTCATGGGTTTACAGTTCTCTTTTAAGTGGAAGTGCACTGTTGTCCTTTCCCCTCCCACACACACTCACACAGAATCTATATTTACAGTGCATTGCTGAACTCACCATGGAATTCATGGCAAAGTGATTATGCTGTGTCTGTAAGTCGAGGGCATGTTGGTAGCTCACTCCAATCTCTGTATGACTCTGCAGGAACAACTCTTTGTTGTGGCTGATCCAGTCGAACATCTATAGAAAGTTCACACAAGACAAAGAAAGAGTCGGGGAGAAAAGGGAAAGATCAAGTCAAAAAAATGCAAAGATCAACATTTCTGATAGATTTACACTAATGACCAGAAATGATTTAGAACTGCCACAAAAAAGTCTCTTATCTGAATAGAGTGTAGTCAAACAAGGACAAAGTTTAAATTATTACCGCCTTCTATATCAACGGAAACACACATGATAAGCCTGTCTCTCTGCAAGCTGATCCCATAGTCCTTTCCTCTACTTTGTTAGGACTTCCAGAAGTAGTAAGACTACAGTGACGGGGACTATAGTAGAAGTTATTCGATTGGCCAAAGCTTTAGTTTTCTGGTTCATAATGTTACCAAGCCATGAATAGACCACTATTTTTCACAATATACTGATTTGGTTTCCTTTTTTTCCTTTGTAGTTTATGGGTAAGCTCCCCAAATATTTCAGCTAAAAATCAAATTCAGGTTTTCCACTGATTGTTATTAATACTTGCTCCCTTCAAAGGCAAAAAGCAATTCTGCTTCAAAACATTAGTTTTCAGTAAAACTCATGCACACATTTTATTTAATTCTGTGGTTCATGCTCCTGTCAGATTCCCACAGCTCTTAGCCCCATTTCAAAGCAAAATGGATGTCTAAGTAGTTTGGTATGTTGAATCAGACTAACAAAATTCTATGCATCAGGTTTATTATTCTATGACACCTGACATCTAAGGAGCTCATTTATGAATTAAATATTACAAGATAGATATTAGGTAGGTTAGGACTATAATATCCATTATTGAAATGAGTAAATTTAGGAATACAGAAGTTTATCTGACTTGACCAATATTACACAATATTTTTGTGGACGTGACTGAACCAAATCTAAGTGTCCCAACCCAATGTCCTAAGCCTTCATGCACACGTACATATTTACACTACAGCATTTCACTATATATATTATCTCAGTTTTTACACACAGAGGAACTGAGTATGTAAAGGTTAGGTTATTTGGTTAAGGTGTAATCATGTTAGTGGAAAAGCGTTGGTTGTGATTTATAATTTAGTAAAAATAAGAACCCCGAGGACATCCTGTGCTAGATTACAGTTCCTTGTTGTGAGCCCTGACCATTAGAGAACAATTCTTATCATGCCAAACAAGTCCTAGCAAACTCAATGGTTCTGACTTTAATTTTACAATCTGAAAAACAGCACCCTGATTTTTTTGTTGTTGTTTCCCGGTAGAATAAATTATAAACAAATTGAAATTCTTAAACTGTTTTTTCCACTAACCCTATTTTAGTGTTACATTCTCCTCCCAACCCATTCCAGAACACTTTGGCTGTGTCTACATTGGCATCCCTTTCTGGAAAAGGGATGCTAATGAGACACTTCAGAATTGCAAATCCGCGGGGGATTTAAATATCCCCCGCGGCATTTGCATTTACATGGCTGCCGCTTTTTTCCGGCTTGGGGATAAGCTGGAGAAAAGCGCCAGTCTAGATGCGATTATCCGGAAAATAAGCCCTTTTCCGGAGGATTTCTTATTCCTACCGGAAAAGGGGTGCAGTGTAGACACAGCCATGGTTTCTTTTATCCCCCTTTTTAAGTCCATTTTGCGGAGTGTGAATTCTTTAGGTCAAGGATTGTCTTATTTATTAAATGTTTGTACAGTGTCTAGCACAATGGGTTCCTAATCCCTGATCAGGCTTCCCGGGTTCTACCATAATACAAATAATAAAAAATGAATAATATCATATGATCTGCTTTGCTGTAGTACAGTGTCTGTTCAGATGTTTAGTGATGCTGACGAGACATGAGATTTTGGGACAGAGGCAAATGAACAACTTAACTACAACAACCATATGCTCAAACGAGTGTGTAACTGCCACCAGGTGGATTTGAACCAGGGACTTCTGGAGCTTAGTACAGGCACCTCTACAACTTAGCACAGGCACCTCTACAACATCTACAGGCACCTCTACAACATCTACACTGCAGACTTCTTGTGCAAGAACAGCTGTTCTTGCACAAAAACTTGTCAGGTGTCTACATTGCACGCGCATTCTTGCACAAGTAAATTTACAGTATAGCGTCAGAAAACAGGGCTTCTTCCGGAAGAGTTATTCCTCTCCCCACGAGGAATAAGCCCTCTTGCGCAAAAGCTCTTCCACAAGAAGGCAGTGTAGACAGGCAACATGATTTTCTTGCGCAAGAAACCCCTATGGCTAAAATGGCATTCAGAGCTTTCTTGCACAAGGGAGCGTCCACACTGCCATGGACACTATTGCGCAAAAGCATATCTCTTGTGCCAAAACACATGGCAGTGTGGACATGCTCTTGTGGAAGACCTTTTGCACAAGAACTCTTGCGCAAAACAGTTCTTGCGCAAGAAGCCTGCAGTGTATACGGAGCCCTTGAATTATAAATCCAACTGCTATCAGCTTAAGCTGTAGAGCTCCCTTGTTCTTATCTCTTGGTGTAAGTGGTGTAAGTGTCACTACATGGGACAGTGAACCACACTAGGTTTCAATTGATATAAACATTTGTTATGACATTGATGTGACCTCAGATAAATACAAGCATCAAACTAATGGAATAACAAGAAGTTTCACTGGTGACACCTTAAGAACAGATTCTAGCATCTGTGCATTATACTTTACTATTATTTCCCAAGGTCAGTTCTCCTTTGCCTGTGAACATATGAGTCCTACTGACAGGAAGAGTTACACGAGCATTTTGGTTGAAAATAGTTTCTATACATATACCTCAAAATACTCTCCAGTGAAGTTGGATTTTGCTCTGAGTGCTCATTGCAACATTAGAATCTGTTCTAGTCTCACTGTGTAGAATATTTACACCACTGTGTAGAATATTTACACAAGTAATATTTAATACCCTTTACATCAGAGAGAAGGATGAATCTTATGAAAGCTCCAGTAACATTAACTTTAGAGTTTGTTATACTATACCCTGCTCCAAAGATGAGTCCCTTAGGGTACGTCTACACTTGCTCCCTAGTTCGAACTAGGGACGCAAATGTAGGTGACCGAAATTGCTAATGAAGTAGGGATTTAAATATCCCGTGCTTCATTAGCATGATCTCGCTGGCGCGTTACTCCGCTCAACAGCTGTTTCGAAAGTGAAAGTGTGCGCCGGGACACATTAGTTCAAACCAAACTCTTTGGTTCGAACTAACATTACTCCTCATTTTGAACTAATGTCATTTTGAGGAATAACATTAGTTTGAACCAAAGGGTTTGGTTCGAACTAATGCATCCTGGCGCACACTTTCACTTTCGAAACAGCTGTTGAGCGGAGTAACGCGCCAGCGAGATCATGCTAATGAAGCATGGGATATTTAAATCTCCGCTTCATTAGCAATTTTGGTCGCCTACATTTGCATCCCTAGTTCAAACTAGGGTGCAAGTGTAGATGTACCCTTTTAGATTAAAGTTATCAGCTTGTTTGAACCAACCTGTTAATGTGTAATTTTATATTAATTCATTTTAATTAAGAGATTTTATACTTTATCTTGTATTTTACATTTGCCAGTGGAAGTTATTTAGGAACAGATTCAGATCTCAGTCACAGCAGCGTAAATCCAGAATAACATTGTTGACCTCGGTATGATCATACCAGATATACACCATTGCAACAGATCAGAATCTGGCCCCTCACTCATTATTTCTGACTGTGAAATTGACCAGGTTCATTTTGGGATAAAGCCACTGTTTTCAAAACACTTTTTGTGATTAAACTGAAGAAAGAAACCTAGTGTAATTCAACCTAAAGCTATCTCAGTACCTCATCAAGAGTTAATACAATTTGAGTGGGAAAGAATTTAATGCAGCTGTGGACTCAAGAAAAGTAATGCCATAAGACAATATATATATTTCAAGAGTAAAGTTCATGTCCAAACAACAGAGTTTTTATCTCTGTGTTTAGAAACCAAAACAGATTTATCTCAAGTAGATACATGTTAAATGTGAACATTTTTTAACCAAGCTAAAACCATTTAAGAAAAAAAAAATGTGGCTGAAAGCCACTGAAAATAAATAGTCAATCTAGTATTTTTTGCACAGCAATACTAAATGGAATCAATTTGAATTTAAATGATTAATAAAACAAAACAAGAAGTAACAGATGATTTCTGAGGGTGAAAGAATACTTTCTTCATCGTAGCCACAACTGTATTATAAAACAAAGATCTGGGTTAAATTAAGTTATGAACTTTGAGGTAGAATTCATAACTGACTAGAAGGATAAAAATTACAATTTCAAATGAATAAAAGATGTATTATTTTCTCTCATTTAATAAATCATAACAAACTATAGTAATTGAAAAAGGTACCTCAGGAACTTTGAATTACACAGAATCATTTTCTGTATTGCCTTCCAAAAATTGCTCTTCATTCATATTCATGGACAGTGGCAGAATTTAGGAAAGCATTCTCAACTATGTTTCAGATTTTGAATATATTTATCGATGCTGCTCCAAATTACTTCTGGGGCCAGTTCAAGCTAAGCTGGGGTGCTGGCAAATTACCTCATAGTGATAAGATCCAAAATTCACTGTGTGACCTTCTCCTGCCACCTATTATAAATTCCCATAACATGCAAAGTCAGGGAGGGAAAAGGTATGTGATGTTTTGGCTCTCCAATACAGGCCTGTGAGTTCCCAAACACCCACCATCTGATGTCTTCTGAAATTTGGTTGGCTAAGAAGCTAGCAGGACTACAGCCACAGCCAAGGCACCATCCTTGGGACCTCTCAATGGGGGATCACTGGGTGCCCCTGACTGGTCCAGCCATGCTACTTAAGCCAGAAGATGGCAAAGGAAGAACCAGAGCTTTAGCAGATACTGGCAAGAAGGTTCCTATGACTCAGGAAAACTGGGAACCTACATTTAGACTGAGCTAGAGCGGTGTTATAGGTGGATGTGGATTTCCTGAGGGGTGCGTGGGTGGAGGATTCATGTTGTTATCACCATAGAACTCTTCCAATAT